GCTTTTATTCCCGCCGGTTTTATTGGAATGCTTTCTTTGTACAAAAGATATTTGCTTTATTAGCAATGTCATTAACGAAGAGCTGTTCAAAGATTCATTAATATATTAATTAAATTATCCTGGTAACGATATCTTTTCCGCGTCGTTTGTCATTACTGTAAAACTGGACTAATTCTCAAAACGTTCCGTCATCCACAATTATAACTAGTAAAGCTGGAGATGAAACCTTTCGGCGAGATGAAAATTAAGTTGAATTAACTATTCTGCTCATATTCACAACTCTTCCCAAAATTGCAAGCCGGTTATCAGCTACTAATTTTGCTAATTAACGAATTATGTCAGCTCCAGGTCATTCCAGTTAATTAATGATTTCCAATATTTTAAATCAAATATCGTAGAATCCAAAGTGGAGAACAAATATTTTAAATAAATAACTGTGTTTCAGTACTATACATTAATAGTAATTTTTCTTTTCGTCTCGAGGTGTCATAAATTATAACTTAATGGTTAATTGCAATCCAATGCTTGTGAGTTTATGATTGGTTCATAAGTAAACAAACTCTATAACTTTTCTAGATGGTTAAGATAATTTAATTAAAAGTTAAATAGGTTTACATGATGAATTATTAATTTAATAGAGAGATATGGATCTTTCTTAAATGTTTTTTTAACTAATACATATATTCCTGTATAAAGATTAATAGTAAAAATTTTATAATATAAAAGTTTAAAAGTTTAATGATATAAAGTTTGCCTTTATAACGTCTGTTTCGTTTCTCAAATCTGAACAGTTTTGTAAAATGTGACGGACGATGATTCATCACTATCAAGATCTGGCTATTGGTCCCAGTCGAGCCTGTAAGTGGGGAAGAATGTAAGGTATTTTCTCCCGCCTCTCCTCCACGTTTGTGATGGAAGTGGAAGCACGTCCGGCTGCCAATCTTGATGTCCGATGTTCGAATCCCTGCGACGGCATTGCTCCTTTTTTCCACATTGTATTAAAAAAATCCTGATAATTTCTAATGCGTTACACCACAGAAGCTCATGGGAGACCTGGGTTTGAGGCTCCTGCAGTTCTTTAAACCCGTATTACAGTCAATAAAGAACTGCAGGAGACCGAAAGTTTGATTCGTTTTACCTGGTGGTTCGCCATATACGAATTGATGAAAAGAATGGGATCATCTCGCAAAATAGTGTAAAAACTGATTGATGAATCCCACGGAAAGAGTGATTATCGTTGTCACGTCAAACTTAAAAAATAATTTAAAAAAAAACATATTTAAAGTTAATTACAATTATTATTACACACAATTACTAGATTTCGTTTCCGTTATTTTTCAGTTTCACTACACATTAAAAATTTTACACGAAAAATTACTTAGCACAGAAATCACTGTTTAGATCCGTCTCTCCTAGTTACGCGTTTCTGTCTAAAATACGCATTTATAGATTCGGTTTGGTTTATTTCATTATGGCAAAGCACTTGGGGGCAATTTGCCTAAGGGAAGGGATGCCTTCGAGGAGGACTTTCAAAGGGAAACTGGTTCGTATCCACGTTACACTTGGGGAAATCCACGAAAACTCCCAGGCAGTCTGTTTATTCGCCTAGAATCGAACCCAGGTCGAACTGCCAATATTCAGCGGCTAGTTAGCAATTATGAATAAGCAAGTGCTATTTGACAGCTGAATCAAAGAACTTTAGTGAAATCAAAAAATTGATTCAAGCTCTTTACCTCAATAGATCCTTTTCCTCCCTCCCCCAATGCGTAGCACAGTATGATCTTCTAAGATATGAAGATATGTTTATTGTCTGTCCTGGTTTACCAAGAACTGAGAGCGACATCTGCCTCGCATAGCTTAGAATGCAGAGAAAGGTGGGGATAATACATTCTAGTACCTTGAACAGGATGACTATAAAGGTTAACAGTTTTTCAATTGGCAGCTCCAAGAATTCTGGAAAAAAGTTCGAAAATGCAAAACATGTTCTGCCCATGATATCCACCAGGTTCGTTATATCCAATTTATATCCATTTGAAAGTTCGATAGCCATATAAAATAGCATTAACCGTGCAGGAAACTGAATGCGTTCGTCATATGTCGCGCTTGCTGAAGCTCATTATAAACTATAACTTATCCACAAATTTAGTTTTTCTAAAATAACAGAAGAAAAATATAAATGGCTTTTTTGTATATAGTATAATAATTTTCATTCATCGTTTATTTAAACTATTAAAAGTTTTAAAAAATGTAGCAAATTTCAAGATGATTTCCTTTGATCATTCAAAAATGGCTCACTAACTAGTTTGGTATCCTACGCTAGAGACATATCATAAAACTTCGCTAATGGTTTCTCATTAGCTGTGTAAACGAAACATTGGAGCTGGTTTGAGAATGGTCTTCCTTCTTTGTATTCGAAATCAGGCGGAGCCGAATCTTGTTTCGGCACAGAGAGATGGATACTTTATAGACATCAAATGACAGTCTGATGTCTTTAAAGACATGTTTATGGGCACTGGATTGGGGTCGAGACTTTTAAAATGGGCGCTGATTGGGGGGAATCCCGAAGATCTCTATTAGACGGAAGTGCTCCAGGCTGGCTTCTCGTAATGAGAGGCTGTCGACTTTGCTTTACGGCGACGAAATAAGACTTTCGTTCATGTCATAGCAAAAGAGCTTCTTTTTAAAAGATAATTATCGACGCATTATGCTGTAATGCCGTTCGCGGCAAAACAATCTATTACGTATATTGATTATGATGTGGTACGAAAAAAAATTACATATGAATCAGACACAATAGAAATCTTTGTATCTGACAAAAAGAAGGAAAGAAAATGTGCTTACTATAATACTTTCTCCCAGCTTTCTAGCACTGAATCCATGTTCAAATGTGAAACTTTGAATAATCTTTGTTCATAATTTTGATGCTAATTGATTTCAAATTTGTGCATTTTTAAAGTAATTTTAAAATTCAAAAATGAAATAAGCAAATTAAGGATAATAATTTAATTTTTTTTAATTGTTGAAATTTTAAAAAATGTTAAGGGAATATAAGCTGAAAAATCTTTTTGAGGCTGAGTTTGTTGGCTTTTGTAAATATCTGTTGGGAGCCTCGTACACGAATGATTCAGTGATATAAATTAATAATTTATTATTAGTGAAAAATCAACATAATTATTTTTTTCAATAATGAGTGCATAAATAAACCACATCAGTTTAATTTACGATGAAAATAATGTCCTTAAATTTTTTTCCATACTGGTTTGGCTTTACCATTTTAAGCAGCTCATTCTAAAATTAAAATTTCGTATTCTTTGTCTTTAATGTCTTGAGGATTAATTCTTAAAGTAGTAGGCCTAATCTAACTACTTAGTTTAAATTTGTAACTAGTGTTAAACAGAAATATGTCTACTGGTATCAGATTGCAATTTCTTTTAATTTTGTGACTTATATACTTAAGTTCTTTGAAGATTATTTAAAACGTTTTGAAACTTTAATGGTAAACTCTTTGGGATGTTGAGCTGTAATCTGAAGTCTTCAAACTGCAATTTTTATATTTTTTTATGGAAATTATTACCGTAGCTCATAAGCAGAAGATACTTCGCACTATTGCAAATTAAACTGTTATTTTTAAATAACAAAGGATTTGAAACTTTCGTCAAATATCTTTTGTGACTTGGTCACGGTTTTACGTTTTGCATGTACAGAGCCCGATGCTGAATCATATTAGGTAATGATTCAATTGATTTAAAGTTAATATGCACGCGTGTTTACATTAGCGAAATGTGTACCCCTGATAAGCCATTCAGAAGAAAAAGTCATATGGGATTAAATCCGAAGACTAAGGTGGCCAGTGTATTAACCTCATCGTCTGCTCATCGTTTCCAGCCGATACACTTTAGTGACAAATTGAACTGAAATTCTCTCTCAAACAGTTTTGCTAATTATACGCGGATAATTGTTTTTCTTGTTTGTTTTAAAGAAATACGACTCGAAAGATTTTGCTGATAAAATCTGTTTTATTCTAAATTGCTGTAAATGGTTTTGGTGAGACCTGCTGCGAGCTAGCATCGTCTGCTGTGGAAACGACGATTGCGATCTTTATCCGAATTACTGTTATTGCCCATTATCAACAAAATGTTCTTTTCGGGAGTGATTCATCGCAGCAGAAATAAGCTAGAGTTTAAGAAGACACAGTTGTATGCCCTGTCATAAGAATTTAAGAGCCGATTTATGGAAATAATTGATCTAAATTCTTCAGGATTCTGTTTGCAATTCAAATATCACCGTCAATGAGAAGCATCGAAGAGAAAAACCAGCGCATCGAAATCAGCAAGCGTGTGGAAAATGTTGAAACTCACAAAACACAACCTAAGAAAACTGCCTTACATGATCTTATTATTACAAGATATAATGTTTTGGTAGAGTTGATACTGAGCGCAGTTTCTACAAGTAAAACCTCCTGAACCCAAAGTGCTCAGATTTACATTTGGATTAATCTTCCAAAGTATTAGAATGTTGGAACTCTATTTAGCGCAACAGTTTCTTAAAAGTTCATTTATTATTGGATTAATATTACCCTGATTATTGTTTTCGTATCACCTCCAGTAGTAGTTATTCGGCGTGTTATTTTAACTCAGATTTAAATGTCATGTTTACTTCCTAAAGACGATCATTTATGTTATTAAAATGTGTAAATGTAACTTTTCAAATATGAATAAAAATATCACTGTTTTAGACCAGAATGAAGGCATTTTATTGGTATACATTTTTTAAATAGATTTTCAGAACTTTTTCTTCATTTTTTCATTAATAATTCTGAAATTTAAAATCCTTTCCTTCGTTATTATGTTTGAAATACAGACATAAATTGTGTACGTATTTCACAAACTATATTTTGTACTATATTTTATTCAAAGATACATGTAAAAAAATATTACTAATCACAAACCTTGGTTTTTATTAACCGTAAAGTATTAAATTTGAAAATTCTTTTATTTTTAGGATGGCGGCAGGGGTCACCTGGAGAGCTTGGCCACGAGGTACGCCGACGAGCTTCGAACACATTATAAAGACGTCCTCGCCAGGTTAGAGGAAATCCGGAAGCGGCGAGTGGCAATTGACTTCCCCCCACTTCCGGTGAGAAAATCTCTCATTAATGCGTGCAGCAAAGATAATGCGAAAAATCATTTATAATTAACGAGTTTCTGTAAAACTCAATTAGCAAAATATCAAAAAATTGCTAGATTGCAGCTGAACTCAAACGATTTTATAAGCACCATACGTTACAACCTTTCTCATAAACTGTAATGTCAGGAGTTTGCAATTTTACTGCAGTGAATATAAAGCTAAAGACAAGGTAAATAAAGAGAGTGATAAAGAAGATAAATGCTGCTATGAACTGGATTCTGTTTAATTAAAATTAATTTCCTTAATTATTTTAATGTTATTCGACTTAATTTTGTGAACAGATACAAATCAGTTTTGCAATAGTCACATAGTTTAACAAAGAAATTAATATGCTTGGCTTGCCATATTTATTTTGGAAATAATATTTTTTTTTGGTGGAGGAGCGGAATACAATTTTCTTCTAAATTCTGTCAGGATTCTTATGATCGGGTATGTTAAAGAAGAATGCAATTGCACAATGAGAGGAAAAAGTTTAATTATCCCATTCTGAAGGCTAATTACATTGTTTGAATACTAATTAAATCACACAAGTAATTACCGTCTTTATAAACTGCATAATTACCGGTAATTATTATAGCCCCTTTTAGTTCAATGATTTCGATTCGAGCATGCGTCCTAAACCAAAATACTGGTTATGGGTATGCCTTAAATCTTAAAAAATGCCTTTTAGCTAAGATCAAAGTGTAGATAATAATGTAATATTCATTTTCTGTAATTTCTTGCTCTACCATAGTGATATTACGTTTAATTAGGTAAGTTGCCTTTTATTCTAATCAGAAACAAATTAATTCTGATTAGAACCAACCATGCGCTCATCAAATATTTACCATGTTTATTTTTTTAAATTTATTCTGAAATGTAAGGGATTGTCTCATATTCGAATGGGTTTCTTTTTTGAATAAATACGGTAATTTGTTCAGAGTAGAATAGTGAACTTTTACTCTTTAATAATTTAGCAGGCAATTTTATTTATGTTTAGTTTGAAACTTGTATATTTCACTCTATACGAGACCATTCTTTATGTCTTTAGTGTTTAGCGAAGCATGGATTTCAGTACCAGCTAAGGTAAATTTGATTTTTCACTCTGCAGTGTTTTGTATTTTACGCAGGCATAGTAAATAAAATCTGTCCATGGGAAACTCTACTCTTGCTGGTAGGAGAAGATGGATGCGAAAGCTGCTCTTGTGCTCAAAAGGTTTGCGGAAAAGGCTTGTTCTGCAGCTTTGTTTGAAATGTAAAAAAATATTACTAATCACTTTCTATGTAATATCCATCAGAACACACACACCTATGCCAACGCTCCAGATTTTGTAGAAAGCCTGTTTTAGTACATAGCATTTGTAGAAAACCTATTTTAGTATATAGGATTTGTAGAAAGCCTAATTTAGTACATAGCATTTGTATAAAGCCTATTTCAGTACATAGCATTTGTAGAAAGCCTATTTTAGTACATGTCATACATATCACAGATAGCCTGTTGTCTTAGATTGAAATGTATTTTTCACACTTTTCAAGTTAAGCCGGCAGGCTATCAGGTTGACCCTGCAAAACTTCTTTAGGGGAGAGAAAAGTCATCTATATGGAACTCGGAAGATGATACATATGCAAATATTTCTTTTCTTTTCCCCCCAAGGGCAGGTTCTAGCCGTTTATAGGCTTTGTCCTCTACTAAGGCCGGAAGTGGTGGTCTCTTTATTATGAAGATACCGTTGCTTCGTACGCAAATACGGATAAATTACATCCATACCTTCTCCAGGATTCGAACCCAAGCCTGTCGGTACGACACTCAAAGCCATTAACCACTTTCTTCTCTGAGCGGCGTAATTTGGTAAATAAGATGATTTAAATAAGTGATAGCAGGGGTCACATGGAGAGTTTGGCCACGAGATGCGCCGGTGAGCTTCAGACGTAATACTACGTCTAATACTAATAGAAATTCATAACCGCCTCGTGGAAGTCTATGGGCCAGGTGTGATGTCGAAGCAAATGGTGCGGAGATGGTGTCGCACATTCAGTGATGGACGTCAGCAAGTGGAGGACATACCGAGAGCTGGACGGACGCACACGGCCACTACAGATGCAAATGTCAGGAAGGTGGATGACATGATTAGAGCGAACCGGCGTATCACCATCGATGAAGTAGCGGAAGAACTTGGAATCTCACATGAGCGAGCTCAAAACATCATCCACGACCGATACAGAAAAGTGTCAGCACGATGAGTGCCCCAACAATTGACCTCGACACACAAGGAACAGCGCATGGGGGTCAGCCTGGAACATCTCGTGCGTTACCATGAAGATGGCAATGACTTTCTGTTTCGGATTGTGACGGGAGATGAAACGTGGGTCCACCATTTCACGCCAGAATCGAAGGCCGCATCTATGGAGTGGAAACATCCGTCATCACCTGTCCGAAAGAAGTTCAAGACAACTCCCTCTGCAGGTAAAGTGCTCCTCACAGTTTTCTGGGTTGCCCAAGGAGTTTTGTTGCTGGACTTTTTGGAGGTTGGAACCATCAATGCTACGCGCTACTGTGACACCCTGTCGAAATTGAAAGAGGCGATTCGGAAAAAGCGGCCTGGCCTTGTCACATCTGGCGTTCTGCTGTTGGATGACAATGCCAGACCATATTCGGCGACGGCAACGCAAAATCTTATTGCAACTCTTAGTTGGGAGCGCCTACACCATCCGCCATACAGTCCTGATCTCGCACCAAGCGACTTCCATCTGTTTCCGGCTTTGAAGAAAAATGTCGGGGGAAGGCGTTTTGGAAGCAATACTGAAGTGAAACAAGCCGTTCAACGCTTCTTCCATATGCAAAGCCCTAATTATTTCCTGGAGGGCTTTTTGAAACTTATCAAGCGATATGACAAATGTCTCAATGTACTTGGTACCTATGTGGAAAAATAAAGGTATGTCATATCTTTAATGTCTCATTTTTTGACTTTCATGCACAACTCTGACCACAGTCGACAGGGAAAACTTATTTTTCAACTTACCCACGTATAAAGACGTTCTTGCCATGTTTAAGGAAATTCTAAAGCAGCAAGTTTCAGTTTATTCAAAGATACCTGTCATTAAGACATAACAGTTGAACATTTCTAACAGAAGAAACCCAAGCTTATTTGTTCAAGCACCCTGTTTTCAAAATACGGTATCGCGCCGAAACTTCGTTAGCTCTAGGACACCAGTTATGCTGTCCGGATGATGTCATTTCATACATATCTTCTACAGAAAGTTAGCCCTCTGACAGCCAAACTCAATTATGAAAAGTTCCGTGTTAGCAACATGAATTTTCTACAGACTTTTTGAGCACAGAAGTATATTGTCCTTTGGAAATCCTGAATCAAAATCTAAAATATGTACTAAAATATGTAATAATCTAATAAGTAAAGTCAAGTCAGCTATCGAAAGTGATCAAACTATAGATAAGTTGTTTAAAGTCCAACCTGTTAAAAAAGTGCATTTATTGCTTTAATATAATTAAGTTTGTTAAGCAGTTGCAAGCTGATTCAATTCGAAAATTAATCATCTTATGTATCTTGTATGCTGAATGACGGTTATCTTGTATGCTGAATAACAAACAACACTCTCAAAACTAATTAAGAGCAAGACTGCATGGAAGATAAAGACGTTATGTTTTGCGACTGGCAAAGCTTGGCTCTTGAATGGTATAGTTCTAGTTGCATAATATAGCGTAGCGTAATGTTACGGCCCAAGAATTTTGAAAAATTCCGCTAAAGGCATGTATTTGCCAGTATATGTTATATCGAAAGCTAGACATCTAAATTATTGCAAGCATGAAAAGAAGACTTATTTTAGATGCAATGTAAATTCTAGAAGATAGCATTCAGTTTGTTGAAACAAAAAGTTTGAAGGTAATTCTTTAAAGATACCCAAATATAGTAGCTCCTTTGTCAAAGGGATTAATTGATACATAAAGCCATAAGAAATCTGCAACAGCATCTAATAAAATCTGTTTGACATTTAAGTTGTTATAAAAGCTCATTCTTACCAAAAACAAAAGAAAAAAAAGGAAATATGCCCCTCCGCAAAGATTAGAATCTCATCAAAAGTGGGAAACACTACTTATATATGTTACCAACAAAGTTTGAAATCCGGCCTATGCATATAATGCCTAAAACTTGCCGGTAATGTATGAAACGATTCATATTTCACACATTTCCTATGCAATCTATATAATGCGAAATGACAAACCGGCAAAGTAAACCGGTAAACAGTTCCCGACTCTGCTCGGTCGTTCTTGGAACTCCACTTACTCTCGAGACTCTCCTACTCTCCTCGCTACAACTTGCGATGCACTCGACGACACACAGAGCACAGCTCCCGACTCTTCGGTTCAATGGCTCCCGGAGTTTAACACACTCTCTCGACGATGCACGAACCGCGATACACCAAAAGACTCTTCGAGGCACTCGATGACCCACTCGGCACTCGCTGCCCGGATGTCAATTCGATCAACTCCGCACAGACTAACTATCTCGCATTTACGAGACACACTCACACTCTGACTGACTATCAGCTCGCTAGACGAGGCACACTCACACTAACTGACCAGCAGGGTTTATATATGTAGCTTTCGGTTTGTGTTCGAGAACATTCTGGTCTAAAGCGGTAAGAATTCGTTCCAGAAGGTTCTCCATTCGTCCATGGCATGTCGCCAAATGGCCGATTTCTCGCCAAACGTGGCAAAACTGCCTTCCTTGCTATTTTATGGCAACCCTAAAACTGCTTTGCGGGGAAGCCATCTTACCGCGCCTGTACATTTCGTAACACTATACAAGCTTTGACATCGACCAACATGCTTCATCTCGTGTAGCCCTTATTACGAATCCTATCGTTTTTCCTATCGTTTTTCGTATTGCTATCTGAAATGCGTTCGTATTGCTATCTGAAATGCTATTCTGTTTTTGCGTTATTTTTCCATG